TCCCTTAACGTATTCCGTATCGCAATTATCTCCAATCTCGTAGTGTGCCAATTTCGGTCCTACATATGTAACACATTATTCCTCTGTTTCCAGAGATGGAAAATTGTTATATGGGCTACTAATTTCTTTATGAGAGAAGGAGCAACCAAGTTTCATTTACTTTAGTGTCTTATATCGAAGCATATAAATAGTCTTTCTACCTATCACCTAATCATATGTAATTTCAAGGCAAACAATTAACCCTAAATATGTTATTATGGTTTTCTTTAATAGTAAATGGTAGAGGATATCAACAAATAAATACAATTTTGAATTTTCTTATATACAATATGTCCTTAACTATTATATTATTTTCAAGAGCTTGATGGGAATAAAATACATAGAAGTTGACGGGTTCATGGGGAAATTACTACATAAACAAGGGGTCTTCCTCCTCGGACACACCCAAATTATCCCAATAATCATTCTTCTCTTTCTCTCTCTTTTTCTCTTAATCATACACTAATCAAAAAGACTCTTATCAAATAAAACCTAAATAGAGAGATATTTGATGGAGGCTGAAGAAGAGAAAGAATCGAGTAGTATAAGCATGGTGGAGGCAAAGTTGCCTCCGGGGTTTCGCTTTCACCCGAAAGACGACGAGCTTGTCTGCGATTACTTGATGACTCGATCGCTTCATCAACCTCCTCTCTTCTTGATCCAAGTCGATCTCAACAAGTGCGAGCCTTGGGACATCCCTAGTACGTCTACTACTCTCTACCTAATCTTAATTAATCATATGAACATTCCACATTTCGTTTCTTCTTTTTGCTCCTTTTTATTTTAAACAACGTGTATAGTGAAGTTTTTATAGATGTAAAAGGTTTTTAAGAGATCGGTCCATTATTTGATATTAGCGAATTACCTCCATGATAATCTAAGATACGTTGCTCGATCGATCATGTTCCATATGGTGGTCTAGAAACAAGACCAAAAGGCTTTTTCTTTTTCTTTCTTAATTCTTAAAGAATCGAAAGACTTTGGAGTTAGTTAATCCATATCGACTATCAAAACGTTGGAGCAATATTCTAACAATTGATATGATGTCACCTAATACATTTTCATTTATTTCAACTTATTTTACTTCAAGTTTTTACTATTAACCATAATGGTAATCAAC